ATATATATATATATATATAGAGAGAGAGAGAGAGAGAGAGAGAGAGAGAGAGTGGCACGGGGAATTAGAGAAAGAATGAACAATTAGAAGCATGAGAGGGGAATGTAGGCTTATCATTCGGACGAGTCAGTGATTCTCAAATTGCTGGAGATATCCGATATGAGAGAAGGTGACGTTCACTTATTGACGAGACGGGATGCATACGATATTTCGCGTTAGCGACGATGATAACGAGTCAACAGATAAGCGTTGCTTTCAGTGTTATCGATGTCGTGAGAAAGGCTGTGCGAATTTAACATTTTTTTTTCAATTGCTAAATCTAATACTTAGATGTGTATTGTTACTTTGATAAAATAAATTAATTTAAGATTGAAATGAAAATTTGATGGCGAATTTTCGTTTACACGTAAATGATTTAATATTTGTATTTGAAATTAATATTTTTAATGCAGATTTCTAAATATGTTATAAGTAAATAAAATTTATTTTGGATTATTATTATTTTCTTGTTAATCTAAATTTAAATTATTCTTTTACGAATAATATCCATTATTGTGAACACATTTTTATTTTATCGGAACAGAAATTACCTAAAAAAAATTTTAAATCTATTTTAGTGAATTATTTATGATTCAATGTAAGGAAATTAATCAACTTTATTACAATTTTTTCATATTCTTATAATATGGATTTAAAATTCGTTTTATCTTTTTATAATATAAAAGTTTCTTACAATAATAGTTAAAAATTAAATTATTTGTTACAACAAGAATTAAATATTTAAAATTTTAATTAACAATTTTTATGAATTTGTACAAAATTAGGCTCTGTATTTATTATTTCGTAGAATACTGAAAACCATTAGTAATGAGTTATAGTTGATATAGTCGATATTTGTATTTATTATTACAATTGTTAATGCTATTAGAAGTATAATGGATTATACATACATATATGGATATAATTTCAAAATGTAATTATATAATTGTATAATTTCATAATGGATATAATTTCAAAATGTCGATTTATAAAATAAATATATAACACTTAACTTAATTCGATTACTAAATTATATTTTCAATGTTTTGAATGCGTATACATAATTAAAATATGATGAATTCTTACATGTACATATTTATCAGTTAAAAGTTTTATTTTATTTAATATTACGCATGGTAAATTTGATTTATTTAATGACAATTTAATATTGTTTATTTTATTTTTTTTGTAATATTTTGTTAAAAATATAGAATTAAATTAAATAATAATTTTTAAAACAGATGTTTGGTAATAATTCAATTGTAATAATAAATTTTATTCAACATTTTAAGAAATTCAAAATTCTATTTTGAATAATATTAAACCTAATACTATTTTGTAATTATATAAATAATCTATTGCAATTAAAATTTAATCTGTGAAACAAAATAATTGCTATTGCATATATTATTAACAATTGAAATCATCTTCTATTTTTTATTTTATATTAATAAAATTATCCATTTTATTTTCTAATTTATTATTATTTCTTTTATAATTTTAATTAAATTCACATTATCATTGATTTGATTTCTTCAATCTTCATGCTAGGTCGTAGCGCTTTAAATAATGTAAAGTGATATATTTTGTTGCAATGACTTTTAAAATATAAGGTATTTGTAAAAACATATTTTCTTATCCATATATTTCTAATTTGTTACTACAGGTTACTACAGGTTACAATGACTTAGAAAAAGATGAAGTTAATATAATCGCAGGTGCATTAGAGCTCCGTAAAAAAACGGTCGCCAATGTCATGACACGTATTGAAGATGTTTACATGTTAGACTACAATCGAATTTTAGATTTTGAAACTGTCTCGGAAATAATGTCTTCAGGTATGGTTTTACACTCGTATATTGTATATTTAATATTAACATACATTACGGAAATGTTTAAATTGTAAATTAGAAATTATTGGGCAGATAATTCTTATATTTTCTTACCAAGAACTAAAATTCATATAAATTACTTATAAATCTATTTACATTATTTCATTTATTTATTTAATTTTTATAAGAAAAATTTATTGGATTGATAATAATTATATTTTTAATTTAATGTTTCATCGGAGTATTTGTATAATTATTTTGCCTTATAATTAATAAATTTATTCATCAATTATTTTATATTTTAATTAATAAATAAATTTATTGATAAGTATTTTTATAAAGTTTTATAGTTTTCTATGATTGACATAAAAATCAATTTTTTAATTTTATGAACACATTTTATTGATTATGTCAATATAGTTTCTTCATAATTCGAAATAAATGGTGATACATTTTTATGAATATCAAATAATTACAATTACAATAAAATATACACAAATGTGTATATATATATATATATATATATATATATATATATATATATATATATATATATGTATGTATGTATGGTATAAACCACATACTTATTAAAAATACTTATTTTTCAATATAGTACTTTTTCGGTGCTTGTAACTCTAATTATATTAGTTTCTATTAATATTTTAACATTAACGTTAATATTTAAATATATAATAGAATTGAAATTGAATTTGAAAACTTAATATTGAAATACATTTAAATATTATTTTTCTATCAACCTATGCGTTCAAGTTTTTAAATTAACAGTTACACACATTTTCATAGATACAGAGCTGTCGAATTTTTTCAATCTTATCTATGCGAAAATTCGAGAAACTTCTATACGTGTTTGTATATTGATTGAATTGAACGATAATTTTCGATTACTTTTTATTACAATAGAGAAAATATTCAAAACAAAAATAATATTAGTTGCTTATCTTACAACAAAATTTGTTGACATTTATTAAAAACTATATAGTATAAAAATAATATCTTTACTTATATTTGCATAACGTGTTTTTCAAAAATTTATTTCAAAGTACTAGAAACAAGGACATTTTTAATATAACTAAGATGCATACATTAATTTTCTGATAAACATTTGATAATAACAATTATACTTTAGAATTTACATGACAATTATTCAGATTATTAAAAAAATATTATCTCACATCATACATCAATAATATCTTATTTCAATGATGAAGTAAACTTGATGTGAATATAAATTCTTCGTTCAATGAATATATACTGAATGCTTCAATAATTGATAATGTATTTTATATTTGTCGATCATATTTATTTACTAATTGTAGAATATTTACTATAAAACCTTCTGAGATAGTGTAATGAAATTATTGGTAGGATGCCTTTTTTCATAATTCTAATAAAAAATATTTACAATTAGTATTTCAATTACAATTTTCATATTGCAAAATATTTATACAAAAAATAAAAATATGCATATTGAAATGAATTCTTTTAAATGGAATGGGTTTTATAATTGACTAAATAATTTCAAATTAATTTCAAAATTTGTAATATATATTTAAGTGTTGGGCATTTTTTTATATAAAAGTAAGGCCGATAGATTTTTAATTAAATTTATTTATAAAATATATATATTCTATAATGTTTATACTAGTTTTTATGTATCATATTAAAAAAACACTATTTATTAATATTAAAAACTATTATAGAATATATAAAGATATAGTTAATATTTAATATTAAATTATATTCATAAACATTTTATTTTATTTTTAACAATTACATCAAAGGAGATTATAATTTTAATTTATTAATGTTAATTTTTAGTATTTTAATAATTCGGTCTTTTTGTATTACAAGTTTTACTTATTCTATTAGGTTTCTCACGCATTCCAGTTTTCGAAGGCAGTCGTACCAATTTAATTACAATGTTGTATATCAAAGATTTAGCTTTTGTTGATCCAGACGATAATATGCCTCTCAGAACGCTTTGTCAATTTTATCAAAATCCTTGTAACTTTGTTTTCGAGGATGTAACATTAGACATTATGTTTAAACAGTTCAAAGAAGGTAAGTACTTATAATTATATTGATGTTTTTTAATTTGACAATTTTCTTAATATTGGTTTTATAAAAGAAATTAATCATGTATAATGAACATTGTATTATGTATTTTAATAATTTTTTATTTATATTATTTAATACTGTTGTCTTTAACAATATATAGATTCGTATATATACTAGTTTGTATTTTGCTATTATTTAGTATCATGAATTAGTAATAAGAAAAATCATTTTTTAAATTCTGTACACAATGACTAATATTTATTCTTTCTTATTATTTAATTAAAAGATTATTGGAATTTTTTCATTTTTAATGTTCTAAATGTATTTGATTGGCTTCTGTTACTATTACAAACATATAAAATATAGATATTTTACATATGTTGATATTTATTTATAAATACATGTATTTTTTAATTTTTAAATAAATTGTTAATTATACAAATAGTACATGTTTCAATTCCATATTTATATTACTTATTAGATGGTTATACAAAGTTATAAACATATAACTATTTGTATAATATAATCAATCTGAATTAATTTTAGGTCATAAAGGACATATGGCATTTGTACAACGAGTTAATAGCGAAGGAGAAGGCGATCCATTCTATGAAGTGATTGGCTTGGTTACGTTAGAAGATGTCATCGAAGAACTTATACAAGCTGAAATTATTGATGAGACGGATGTATTTAGTAAGTCTTTTAAAAACAATCAATTTCCGTATACATAAATAGTATAAAAAAAGACAATCTATTTTCAATAAATTTGTTTATACTAATATTATTTATTATAGCTGATAATAGAAGTAAACGAAAGCGCCAAGCTCGTTCGAAAGTACCCGACTATACACTCTTTGCCGAGAAGAAAGAAAACCAACGGATTCATATTACGCCTCAGCTAACACTTGCGATGTTTCAGTATTTATCGACATGTGAGTTTTTAATTATTATTTCCAATAAGCTTGCTGAAAGCTTATTATCGAACAATATTAAGCTTGTTATTATTGTACATTAAATGTAGATATTTTTAATGCTTGTATAATATAGTTATACAAATATTATTGAATTGAGAAGAATTTTATATTATTCATAAATTGTAATTTTATACTGAAAAATGTACAATTTTTAAAAAGAAAGAATCTAATTAAAATTCTTGTATCTTATCATGTACCATTTTCTTATATTATTAAAAGAACCAATTAATGTTAGTTATTAACTTTAGTTTATTGTATATGGTGCTATATATGGTCCTACCTAAAATTTGAATAATAGAAGCAGTTATAATTTAGCTTTAAGTATTTTTTAAAAATAAAATTCTGCTATATCGAATAAAACAATTAAAATAAATTTTTGTTTTTCAAATGTAAATAATACATCTTAATTCTCTTCACAGGTATCGAAGCCTTCAAATCGGATACAATTTCGGAGCCTATTTTACGGCGTTTGTTGAAGCAAGATATAATATACCATGTAAAAGTAAAGTCTCGAGAAAAAGCACGAAATGATCCGATTTCCGTGATTTACCAGCAAGGTAAAGCTGTTGATTACTTCGTTCTTATATTAGAAGGTCGTGTTGAAGTAACCGTTGGTAAAGAAAATCTTATGTTTGAAAGCGGTCCTTTCACCTACTTCGGCACGCAAGCTCTAACGGCTAATATTGGCGTAGGTAAGTCATAAATTTATATTTCTTTTTAATAGGTGAAGATTATTCAATATTTGTTTAAATATTCAAAAAAAGTGCATTTGTTTCTATAAGAATTAACCAAATTAGAATTTATATGTTTTATTATTGTTGTTCAACAGCACCCTCTGCTGAGTCGCCAACAAATCTGAATCCTCAAACTTTAGGTAGTATTCAGTCCATAAACTTGGATGCGATTCTTCGGCATACTTTTGTACCTGATTATACGGTACGTGCGGTCACGGAAGTCTTCTACGTGAAAATCAAAAGATCGTTGTATTTAGCGGCTAAACGTGCGACGTTACTCGATCGAAGTCAAAAGGATACGAACAATCACGAGCAATTTGACGATGAAGTGGAGAAGGTAACCGTTCAAATTCTTATTACATATTATTGAAATAAAAATAAAAGTTGATGAGAATAGAAATAAATCAGGATTGGCTAAAATTTGAATTTAACGATTTTAAATTGTTGTTTTAGTTGGTTTTAGTTGGTGTTTTCAATAAGAATGAATGAATAACTTAAACGACGAAAGATTGAAAAAGCATTAATTTTTTTTATCAGATGCTTTTTTTGCACAATTCGGATTTATCGATGTAATGCAACTTGTAGTATGTTCCTTTTTGTATAAATGTACTTATAAAAAAGTAGACGTCTTTTCTTGATATTTAAGAAATCATTTTGTATATTCCAAACTTTAAGTGATATTATTATATATTTATTCGACGTACATTGTGTAACGTACGGTATATAGATTAATCGCATAGATAAACGAGGACATTTAAGTTTCATGATATTTACACGTGTTTCTGTATATTTATCGACTCTATACTTTCGTATAATTTTAACTTTTATCATACATTTTTAATATTTCCATTGAATATATATATATATATATATATATATATATATATATACCTACATAGTTCGTTAACCTTTTTATTAAATTCAACTTTAGAATTTTAACAATTTAGCTTTACCTAAAATGAAATTGAGTTAAAGTAAATACACTAACAATAACCAGGAATGAAATTTAACATAGCATAATTAACGGAATCGCCGATAAATCTTAAAATTTAATTACGTTCCTAATTATAATATTCAACTTCAAACAACTAGTGACATTTATGCTTATACAAAAATGTAAGTTATTAAAATATTATGCATTTAAATATACAGAAAGAGATAGGGAAGACAAATATACAGATGAGAATTGTGAAGTTATATAAATTATACGACATATATGGAAAATATATGAAACAGACAAAAATATTGTTTTACATATATATATTTATATTTAAGAAATATTCATGATATTTGTCATATCTTATGATAATATTTTGCAGTTACTGCACTCCCTGGATGAAGACGACCGCAGTGTTCCAGAATCTCCAATTCTATCTAAGAATAAGGAAATCGGTGGATTTAGGAAAGATAGTTTCCCACAACAGTCGCCTCTACGACACTCATCATTGTCTGGTGTATGTATACCTGTAAGTGCCAGTCCAAATACTAGTTCGAAATTTATTTCGAAAACTGGTTCAAATGGACAACTGAGAAATTCTCCTATTAAGGTGAATACAAATTTACATTTTTGCCTCATTTTTTCTTTCAATAATATCTAGAAATTTTTATCCAGAGATAAATATTTCAATTACACTCCCATGGGAATAAAACTAAAATAATTCTCGTATTCTCGTATCTTTTTCTTTTCTTTGCTTAAAATTTTTATTCATCGATGTTGAAGCATTATTTTTTTTCTCTTTTTATTTCTCTTTCTTTTCGTTCTCCCCCCCCCCTCTTTCTCTTTTCTTTTTTGCTCTTATTTAATCTAAATTATTTTTGAGGGGTTAGTATTACTTCCATTTTTATTATTCTTAATTTAGTTGATTAATTTCATACTCATTCATTTTTGCCATCAAACCATTATTTGAATTTTGATTATTTCGAAAATTCGTCAAATAGACACTTTAAAACATACATATATATATATATATATATATATATATAGATTTAGAGCCTTACGTTTTTTTTCAATTAGCAGATTCCATATTCTCTATTGATCCCTATTCTCTGAGGATATCTCAAATCCACATACAAAGAGCATTTATATGACAGATGATTTTTTATTCCTCAGTTGTTCAGTTATTCATATTTATACGAAATAAATTTTTTTGCATTTAGTTAATACGAGATCTAACTATATTCTTTGATTAAATATAAAAATCTGAAGAATAATATTGCCATTTGTTCTTATTAATTCATCGATTAATACTACTTTTGCGATTTTCGTTATTTGTTATGATTATCTGTGTTCATTACATACATCTTTTGTTCGGTCAACATCATTAATTGCTTTCCTTATTTACAAACTGTATTTATTCGCTCTTTCTTATTTTACATATAATATCAGGATGTTTATTTATATAATAATGCGAATTTCCATATTGAATAGAAGGTATTTTTTAATGAAAGCCAATAAGATAATTATCATTAGTCGTCTTATTAAAAATTCAGCTTTTAATGAATATTTTAGCCCAAAGAATAGATGCAATATTTTAAAAACAATTATCGATATAACGTCAATATTTAATGAAAAATTTGATTTACCAACATTATGAATTGATCACCAGATTAGGTAAAACCTTATTTGCAGACTTATGATTCGCCAAGCTTGGAGGAGCGCCAGCAGACACTGGACCTAGATGCAGAGATCCTTGCTAGACAAACGGAGGCTGCACGATTGCTGTCATCGATCAAAAAATCGACCGAAGACGATGAAAAAACGATTCTTTTGAATAAGCAAGAAAATCCCTCTTAACACTTGCAGAAATAACAATGGAAAATGCAATGTTGATACGAAGCGAATCGAAGGATTTGCACGTTAAAGGACAAGAAATGTATGCGAGACTATTATCACGGATGTTATCGACTATGGGGCTTGGTACTTAACGAATTACTTACATCTAAGACGTTAATCGACAACGTTAATTCCCATTGATATTATTTATTGATTTCTAATGATTTTCAATACCTGTAAAATTAGAATTTGGTTTTACACTCAGTGCTCTGTTTTACCGATGCGCTAATTTTTGTAGGATATTACTGGTATTTTGACGAGTGTAAGTCATTTCATGATACTTCATAGTTAAATAATGGTTCAAAGTTAAAATGATTTTTTATGAAAGATAATAGATTTGATTATAAATTATCTTTTGCGTGCTCTAAGGTATTTCGTTGTTAAGATATTTTTGAATGATTATTATAGTATTTATTTTTTAATTTATTACTATACTATTTTTATAGATTTCTATTATTTCTTGTGAATAAAATTAGATAAGTCGATAAGGTGATATTTCCGTATTGAACATCTATATTTTATATATGCTGTTTGTTCCATATATATATATATATAAATTATATTACTTTCATAAGCAATCATTACTTCTATATATGTTGACACGAGTTAATTCCTCTTTTGGTTCTCTTATCAATATTTTACGAATATCAGAAGACAATAAAATCTATTTCCTCTTTTTCATAGATTGAAGTGTTTTCGCGAAAAAAATTGTAAAAAGTAAAGGAATAAAGTTAATTTTGCGTTAATATTTCTTAATGGCTCAAATCAAATGAAATAATAAATATTTTCGATTATTTATGAAAGAAAAATATAGATGAAAACGGATTTTTATCAGTTGAGCATTAAAAGTTACAATACAAAATTAATAATAGAAATTCTAAATAAATTCTAAAAGTATTTAAAACAAAGTTTAACATCTCAAGCTCGACGACGTAATACCAAATACTGTTGTATTTGTTTGTACTGTTGAACACTAAATGAGCTTAATGTAATTATAATTAATTGAGATTAAATTAAATTAATTTTTTAAGTACGCGTATTAATAATTGTTGAACAAACGGTGTTAGCAGGGAGACATTCTAATGATTGGAAGCTAGGCATTCATATTAGTATTTAAATATGCGTTTCCATGTCATAATAATTTCATCGTAAAAGAATAGCGTTACAAATTCTTTTGAGGAATGTCGCAAACTTTAACCAGAATTCATACAGCAGCTTAACGATGGCAAATTCACTTCACGAAGAAAAACTTATTTTTATACAGCTGAGAGTATTTATTTTTAATATGATGTGTATACTTTTTTCTGTAATAAACCTATGCGCAATTATAACTATGAGGTTTATTAAATCTGTATTGTCAGCTAATGAAACTGCAAGCTCCTCAATTATCTAAGTATTCCGATGTGCATAGAATAATCTCTGAAATATTTTTATTACATTCGTAACATTGGATATTAAATATTAAATGACTTCCAATGATAAGTTTTCTTATAATTTTAGCTCTCGAACACATTAGTAATACAACTTTTGTTAATTTCATAATAATTTGAATATATCCTACCTATTTTACTATATACGTCTATTATATTAAAATTTTTTTCATAAAAATGTAGCATAATTTAAGAATTTTATTTCTTTAAGTTTAACACCACATTTTTTTTACTTCTATGTTTATATTTTGAACAATCGCACAGGATTTTTTTTAACATTCCTCCGGATACTAAATTCGAGAATATATAGTTCAAAAAACCTTTGTCACATGTTTTGATCGATATTGGATTTAAATAAAATATTATAAAGATAGCGATTAGCTTAGTCTTCACGAAGCAATAAGCATGCATTAGTCCAAGTTACAATTATGTTATCTGCATTTAAGCTGTTATGAATTAAGTCGTGCAAGTTGAATAAGTCAGTATTTTGACGTTACGCGAGACACATCCCATGTATGGTATGTATAATTGTATATTGAAACAAGTAGAGTGTAATTGTATTATAGTTGAATTGGTTTGAAGATAATTTGAGATATTTTTACCTCAGGAATAACACGTTTCAAATATTACAAAATAAATGTATCCTTTGGGTTATTCAAGCCAAACAGCTTGAAATTTCATAAATGCAAATATTAAAGTTTAGAAAACTTTCAAGAGGAAATTTATTATGAATTCATTCATTACTTAATCGTTAATATTTTATTACATTACGCGTTTCTCACCTATAAGTAACATTTATCAGTCTTGTTAGCGGTTGTCTCTTCGATGCGTTCTCTTGGAAAATTACTTTTGACATGAGATAATATATTACGTGCCTGATTTCTCCACATCTGTACTTTAAGGTACATATAGTCTTATACAGATGTCAAATAAGGCCACTGGAATGTATCTATTGCAGATCACTGAGCATAAAACTGGTAAATATAGATGCTAAGTAGTAGCACCGATTAAATTTATCCTGTTTCCATTATCAGCATTAAGCACGAAAATGAAAATTAGTTCTTGTAAACTATTTAGCTCAATGCCTATTACTTTTATTTATGCAATTATATCAATCTTCTACGAATTATTAAAACGTTAACATGTAATATAGTGATTTCAAAAGTGCAGTAAAAGTGTATCAATAATAGTTAAATTATTATGATGAAATTTCTAAGCACTAATTTATGATGAAGGATTGTAAATATTTATCATTCCAAACCTAAATAAGGGTTATACATGTAGGATTTAACTATATAATATACTTATTTCCTTTATTCGATATCGCTTCTATTGCTTCTTCCGCCTCATTATAACCATGACGTTATACCATTAGAACTTATAAATAAAAGAAAACTCAATATTTAGAAAAATATTATTAGAAGAAATTAAGTTAAATAGTTGAATAGTTAATAACAATTGTTCTAATAATATTACTCAATTATATTTTTAGGTCTGAAAAAGTGACTATTCAAATGGCGTTTAGAATTCAGATGTAGCATACTTAATATACCGAATACACATGTGTAAATTTATATGAAGCTTAGTCTAAGAGAGGGTTAAATCAATTTATGCATATATATATATATATATATATATTATATATATTATAATTCTAATGTTTGCTACTTTTATAATATTACTAATTTTCAAAGTTTGAACTTTTCCTTGAAATAGAGAGTAATCTGCTGTAGAATATATAGAACATAAGACCAATTGGCAAACATATCTTTGATAATAAGTTCTAACTATGCTATTAAAAAAAGATAAGGATAAGAAAAAAGTAATTAAAATAAAACAAATACTTCATGAAATAAAATTCTACAGTTGAATATAAATAATTTTTAATCATAAATTTAAATTTCTAATAAAAAGAAAAAATTATCAATCGTCATCAAAATTTATGTTGTGATAAAAATTTCTAGAAACTATTATTAACATTTATATATAGTTAAATATATTTAAATCCAGTTCTAATTTGAAATTTTGTATATTCTTGTTTAATGCAATTATGTATTCAAAAATAATTATCTAATTTCTTAATTACTTATTCATCTTTTTAATCAGTCTTGTTTAAATATCAATATTTAAATTAGAATAGTAATATTAAACAATGAAAATTCAATTCTTTAGTAAATGATTTTGTTTGTTTTGAAATTTACCTATTTTTAAATGAATATTGAAAATAAGGAATTTAATATTTTATTGATAATAAGTTTTTATAAAAGAAAATCTGTAATAAATTAGAAAAGCATACAATACTGAAATATTAATAATATAATTATAAAGATGCAATGAATTATTTTTAAAAAATTACCCAACGACATAAACATAGTAAATAAATAACTAATTTACAATTCTATACAAAAAATAAAAATTAAAACACTATAGTTTAGAACAAAGGAATAATAAGAAATTTATCCATACTAACAATATAAATATTTTGTTAATAAAGAGAATATATGAATAAGCGCTCGTCTGATTTTCTAATAAATTGAAAATATAAATAGAAATTATATCGTATTAAATTAGAATTAAGTTGTTGCAAATATAAGAATAACTATAGACTAGAAATACATTAAAACGAAAAAAATAATATAAAATTTTTTTTTAATAGTGTAATAGCTTCTAATCTGTAATTATTCATAATTTTTTGCTTGTAGTAACATTGGTATATAATATTTAAAATAAACACAATTTAGGTTAACTGGAAAATCATATTTTATTTTTAACGTGATTAAACAGTAGATTATACTCTTTGATATTTATTTTATTTTCTTTTATTAAATAGTTTTTTTTTTTTTAATTTTTTTAGGTTGATATTAGTTTTTCTTAACTTAAGCCATCTTTTTTTCGTGGCTATTTATTGATTGGATACTTAGGCGTTTAAATATTTTTATTTTGTCACTGTATTATTTTTTTGTATTACCTAGAAAAGTTATAGTTTACGCTATGTTATTTTATAGTATAAAGCGTTTCCACGAATCCATAATTTATTCACGAATTTATCTAAATTCAAATTCCTGAATCCATATGTTAATCGATATTAATTCTTGAATATTACGAATTAATTCTTGAATATTACGAATTAATTCTTGAATAATACGCAATTGTACATTTACATTCAGCTAATCGATAACTTAATTTAAATTAAAAGCTATATTTAATATCACTAATTATATACTAAGTATTTGTGTTTTTAATTGAACTAAATTATGTAATGGTATTTTATGTTTTTATCCAGTTTTTCATTAAAGCACTATTGCTTTTATTGTAACATAACATTATTAAGTATACACGTCATTATATGTATCACCTTTCCAGCCATTACTGCCATATATTATGAACATAAAGTTAGATTAAATTTTAGGTAAGAGAGAAACTACCATTTAAGTAGGTATAGCCAAAATCTTTAAATTTTATTTAAATTATATCATTGTACAATAAAAGAACGATATGAATTTTTTATACATATTATATACTTTTTTGCATATTTGGATAATATATAATTTGATCTTGTAATTACTAACTTATGTTGATAATTTATATTGATAATTTACATTCAATTACTTTTTTTCAATATAAAAAAATTAACTTATATGCTAATTAATATAACTAAATTTGAATAATTCCGCGATTTGTAATATCTATGAATTTTTACTATTACTGCTGGATATTGAAATTATATCATTAGTAAAAAGTAAATGTTGAATTTTTTTCACATAAATATAATTCATAAAACATGTGAGACATGTGTGAGGGCGTGCATATTTATATATATAGCCAAAATATTAATATGTATATTGATATTTTATTTTCAAAATTTAACATATCTCTTTCAATTTTCTTTTCCTAATTTGTAAGCCAATATTTTACTCACATATTACTT